CACTGATTATGTATTTAATAGCTTTTGTTATTTTTATTCTAATACTTTAGTCTCTTTTCCCTTTCACCATCACTGTAGTCTTTATCCAGCAAAGAGCCACTGCGAGGTTGGGGATTATCTTTTGGGTTTCATTTGGGTTGGTTGGTTGTGGTTTTATTTTATTTGGCAAGATTCCAGTATTGTGCTCTCTTCTGGCAGATTCTCCTCCATATACAGTAAAACAGCCAGATGTTCTTACCCACCTCTGGATCTTGACTGTCACTAGGAATTTATTTCCACTTCTAGTTCCCTTTTTTTTTGCCTACTTCTGTCATCTGTCTTCTCACCCATCTTAAAAAGATTTCTGGCCCGGCAAATATTACTTTCCGAGCCCAACCCTCCTAATCAATACACTGAATATGGCTCTTATCTTTTCTGTTTTGAACTTGGGCTGCCTTGTCCTATGTGGTTCAGTGATCTCAATGACCTCTCCCTCCGGGCAGAGAAAACCTTTTGAGTTTACCAGAGTTTACAAAAAGAAATAAACGTACTCTGTAAACTTTGGCTGCAATTGGCTGTGGTGATGGTCATTTTGCAAAGCTTTAGGAAGTAAGAAGCTCAAGCAACACTCAACAACAAGATTCTTAGGGATTTTTTTTAAACTTTAGTAACTGAAATATTGTGTTCTATAGAAAGTGCACAGCGATATTTGTACTTGGTAGCATACCCACCCTTGCCCAAAGGTATTCTGCATTATCACTGTAGCTGCTTTAAAGAGTGTAGCACTAACAAACAGAGTATGCCTTATTTTGTTCCTCGATTTTTAAATTATTTTAGGACCAGATTTGGAATTCAGCATGCACGATGGGACAATCAGAGACCTTGCTTTCATGGAAGGCCCAGAAAGTGGTGGTGCTATTTTAATAAGTGCTGGAGCAGGGGACTGCAATATTTACACAACAGATTGTCAGCGAGGACAAGGCCTTCATGCCCTGAGTGGTCACACTGGTATGTGTACTGTGGCTTCTCTCACACTTTCTAAGCCTGTACTATGGTCTAATAAAGTTGTTGGGTTGTTTTGGGGGTGTTTTTTAAATTCTTTGTGTTTTTCTTTGTAGCAAGACTTTTTTTTTTGCTCTCCAGATTGCTCTTGAGGTCTTTTGAGGGGTGATGGGGAATGTTTATTTTTACATATGTTGGCTGTTAATTTAATGGGTTAATGCAACCTCATTCCAGAGAAGATGTAAAGGTGGGTATTGCCTTTCACTGGTGTGTTAGATCATGCAACATGCAGCTTTTCCACAGGATAGTTAAATCTCTGAAAGCAAAAATATAATCTGAACTGTGGTGTTTCAGTATTTGATTAATGACGGTTTATCCACTTAAGAAGTCTTCTTGTTCACAGGTCATATTTTAGCACTTTATACATGGAGTGGCTGGATGATTGCATCTGGATCCCAAGACAAGACTGTAAGGTTTTGGGATTTGAGAGTGCCAAGCTGTGTTCGTGTTGTGGGAACAACGTTTCATGGAACAGGCAAGAGTTGCTATCATGCTTCTGAACATTCTTGCATAAAAATAGACTTTGAAGACATCAAGGTAATATAGGCAGAATGTAAGGGGGGCGTTGTGCCACAGGCTGGAAGCTTGGCTTTAAAAGAAAGAAGCTGTGAGGAATCTTTACCTGCGTTTTGTTTTTAAAGTAACATTTCCTTTCAGAAGTTGAGTAGTGTTTTTGCCTCGTGACTTTCAAACAGACACTTCCAAGTACATTCAGATAAAACATAACTGAAATTCTCGAAACATTAGGGCCAGGGTGAATTCCTTGCAGTATTCCACATTAGTTCATAAAGAGTGACTTTCTTTCCTGTGATGGAACAGACACTTTTTCTCACGTGGCTCTAATACTATCTTTGCTACGATTCCAGTGTGACCTATGGCTTCAGAGTTTTTAATGCCAGAACATAAAAATTTTGTTATTCTAAAGTAACAGTAGCTGTGTGTGTTCACCTTAAATTTAAGGCCAACATTCAGTGTTCTTTTACAATGTATATTCTGGTTTAAAAAAAGTTGGCTATTTGTGCAAATGTACAGAACTATAACATGTGACCATGTGGGTTTTTCTCCTCCTGCAGGCAGTGCTGTAGCCTCAGTAGCTGTTGATCCCAGCGGGCGACTCCTGGCTACAGGCCAGGAGGACTCCAGCTGTATGTTGTACGACATCCGGGGGGGTCGGATGGTGCAGAGCTACCACCCCCACTCCAGCGACGTTCGCTCCGTTCGCTTCTCCCCGGGGGCTCACTACTTGCTCACGGGGTCGTATGATATGAAGATCAAGGTGACAGACTTGCAAGGTAATGTGCTGCAAAGGATCATAGGCTCATTTTCCATTTGGTACCTTTAATGTTGAAGTTGAGATCTTGGTTCCAAGATCAGGTTTTACTTTAAATGGGGAGAAAAACAGTAGAGCTTTGAAGGGTTTGACGTGTGTATATGTGATTGTGTTTGTTGGCAATTGGCTAGTTGTGTAGCTAAAAGTGCAGGCTATGAACTAAATCTTGCTTTGGTCTCATTACAGTAAAAAAAATTATTAACACTGCTGCCTAGTGAGATGGCCATTGCTTTCAGATAGCATTCATAAATTTGACACTTTAAAAAGAGTACATAATTTTAATTTTTATTGGAAAGAGTTAAGAAGAGGGAAGATATCGGGTATATCTAATTGACTTCATTTTCTTGGGCCATTAAACTTTAATCACTTTTTGTGAAAACAGTGAAGGTCTGCATTTTTAAGTTGTACTGTGTCCAGTAACACCTAAAAACTGAAACAGTGGGGCCCTGTGTTACGCTGTGTGTATGTGACTGGGGGGGGATCAAGTGCTTCATAAGATGAAATACATATGAGCTTCACTAAACAAACAAGTAAAAAAAAAAAACCACGAAAAAAACCACTCAAGAGCTGGGGTATAAATTCATGAAATGACTAATGATTTCTGTTCCTCTGCCACAGGGGACCTCACGAAGCAGCTTCCTCTGATGGTGGTAGGAGAGCACAAGGACAAAGTTATCCAGTGCAGGTGGCACACGCAAGATCTTTCCTTCTTGTCGTCGTCTGCAGACAGGACTGTAACCCTTTGGACCTACAATGGTTAGAGTGCAAACAAAGGCAACCTATGCAGCTAAAGCACAGAGACCTGAGACTACAGAACTATCCAAACAATAATAATGAGGCGTTGAGAGCAGCAGTTGAGCAGGAGAGTGTCTTATCAAGAAGAGGGGCACTTGTCACTGGTTTTTCTGGTTTCTAGGAGGTCTTGGTGTTTTTAGTATATTCTTTTGCAGTGCTTCCAGTCTTCCATGTTGAACTCATGCTGCTGTGACCTATTGTAGTCTTGTTGCCAAAGTCTATGAGGAGAACTCTTATGTTGTTGATGTGCACTCAGAGTAACATGAATGATGTGTTTACAGTTTGGTATTAATTGCATTCCTTGGTCTTTGCCTCAACGAGAATTTTGTACAGAACTTAAGTTGAACAACACTTTAATCAAGTCTGTATGTAACTAGTTACACACATACACACACGTAAAACTTACACTGTTTTTTCAGGTTCATTGTATTCATCACTCCTCAACAAGAGATCAGACTTTATAACATCTCCACAATTTCAGTGTTTTTAGTAAAAACATCTGAACTTTAAAGGCTGACTAGGCAGCAATCACATCTTGATTATGGTCCATTATATAGTGTGGGATTTTTTCTTTCTTTTCATCTAACCTGGGAAAAATGTTGCTGTTTTTACTACATGACATTGTTTTGAACAAGCTAACATGTTGGAGGGGGGAAAAAGTAAAATATTGACTTTTTTCAGTAGAAACATGTAATATTTTACTTTTTGAATGCAACAGAATACCTCTGTGTATAATGTACTGTAGAAAAGAGTGGATTGGCAGCAGTTGTCACAGTGAGCTTAATGGCTATCAATTTTTCAAGTAAAAGGGATACCATTAATGCTATAATAGAAACCAGCATGGCTTAAAATGCTATGTCTGCATGATAATTTAAGAATTGTTTAAATTCCCAGTTCAGAAGCTTATCTGAATTTTATTTCTTGCACTGTTTATGTATGGGAAACTGCAGTTTTATTTCTACAAAACTTTAGATTCTAATGTTTATGTATTGTTATATTTTCATATTGTACAGTTCCTTTTACTTTTTAAAATATAAACCTTAAACTTTGGGTTATTTATTTATTTGAACTGCAGTTAAGTTTTGGATTCTCTTGGTTACTAAATTATATGTGCACTGTAGCAAGCATTTTTAACTATCGTATAAAAGTGGAAAGGTAAATATAGAAGTGTATCTGTGCTATAATCTCAATAAAGACCTCCAACACCTGCATCCGTTTTGGCTGTTATTTTGGATTCTTAGTTCATAATTATTTGATATAACTGTGATACAGAATTAGACATATGACTTAACATGCCAGAACTATAAAATACTCAAGAGTTTTGATATTGTTTCCCTATATTGAATTTTCAGTGTGATAATAATCTTGTTTATTTTTCTGTATTTCATACATAATGCTGCTTCAGAGGAAAATAGTGTTCCTCTAGTTGTTTATCTGTGGACAAAGCTGGCAGACTTAATTAGTACTACAACTATGTAAAGACTGTCTTCTGCCATTAATTTTATTCCAGCTTGGGTCTTTAAAGAGCAGATCCAGATTTACATCCCTTGTTTTACGTCACAGCGTCTTGTGACTGAGCTCGCATTTAGCGAAGGTAAGTCCTCCTCTATGTCTGTCTGGGACTAGAGGTGATTCGAAAGAAACGAAAAATCCCTCTACCGGAGGAGAGGGGCGGGGATGGAGCTGGTGGGAGTTGCTGGGGCTCCCTCGGTGCCGCGGGGCCGGGCGGGGCCGGGGTTGGGCGGGCCCGGGGCGGGCCCTGAGCGCGAGCCGGCGCTTGAGGGCCGGGGCGGCGCCTCCGCGGCCGCTGCTCCGCGGCTGTTCCCGGGGCGGGGCGGCGCGGCCCTCCCGGGCCGGGGGAGCTGCAGGGCCGGGAGGAGCCGAGAGGAGCGCGGCTGTGGGGCGGCCCCGGGCCGGGTAAACACACCGAGATTCCTGCGGCCCTTCAGGTACCGCGGGCGGGGCGGGCCCGGGGCCTGCGCTGGGCCCGGGCGAGGGGCGGGAGGGCCGCTCGTCTCGGCGGAGCGCGGTGTCGCTGCCGAGATACAGGAGGCCGGGGCGGGGGAGGAGCGGCCGTGGCTCCTCTCTGTGGCCCTGTCCGCGCCTACAGCACTCGGCCGGGCGGCAGCGCCGGCCTGTGCGGGGCCGGGCGGAGCCGCCCCGAGGGCACCAGGCCATGCGTCCCGTCCCGTCAGAGCCGGGGTGCCCCTGCAGGGCTGGCCAGCCTTGATTGTTGTTCTGCGTGACGGGCGTACTGACCCTTCGTGGAAAAATAATGTGAAAGGTCAGCGAGCAGGAGTGCGTGCGGTGGCAGTAATTCCCTGGGGACGAGCTGTTCTGCACCCTTAGGAGCGGGACCGCTGGGGGAGCGCGGTGTATCGCCCTCAGAGAGGCCGGGGACAAGGGATGGAGCGGCATGGAGGTGGTGTGGCCATGCTCCGTTTAAAACAATGCCGCCAACGGGAATTAAGCCGGAGGAATGATCTAAAAAGTGACCGACCAAAAGCTGAGCTTTGTTCTATAAACTCGAAAATACGTGTCGCTTTTCACATCCCCACGTGGGCTAATGAAGTAAAACCTGTACATGCTTTACATGTGTGACTAAAGTCACTCAAACCACTTAAACGTGAAATGACATCAACTGAAAAGCTACCTTTCCCCCTTCCTCAAAGAAAACAATATAAATATAGGTTACGAGGGATGGGAGGTCAGGGGAGACTCCACCTTTGTACCCTGGGACTGTCGACGGTCTGTGCTTATCTCTTCCCTGTAGGGATGCCTGTTGGGTAAGGCTCGAACACTGGGCCGTACCAAGTGCTTCCTCGGGAAATTGGGAGAGCCAGCTTTTGTTTGTGATCGTGCTTTTAGCCCTAGATAGTCAGCTCCCAATGTTATGTATTTGCTGTCACCTGTATTATTCATATTTTTGTGTTCGTGCACTCCTGCAGGCACTGTATGTAGTGCCAGCAATCCAAGAGCCTGTGTTTCTGTTGCTTACCAAATAACACTGTTTTGCACCTTAGAGTTATTGCATGAGACTGGGCTTGTGATCTGGCCATGAATCCTGGAGGAGTTCTGCACAGGTTTATTGTATTTAGCAATCCTGAACTCCATGTTACACCTGCTGATATCTGTGGTCAGTTATATTGATCCAGTTATGTAGTACAGTTTAATTGGTGCATATTATTGCTGGCAGTTTCCTTGGGGAGGGGGGGAAAGAGGGAAGCGAAGTTTAACCTGCTTAACGGAGAACTGAGTTTTTAAACAGCACCAGAGAATACTTCTTTCATGTAAGATTGTTGCATGTTACACCCTGACCTAAATATGTGGATTTCTTGTTACATTCAGTGATACAGGATGCTGTTCCCTCTGGTGTTGTGTGCAGTTATGCTGGTAGGGAGCGGTAAAGTTCAAGAAGATGAATGGATTGACCCCACGGATATGCTCAATTATGATGCAGCATCAGGAACAATGAGAAGACCTTACAAGGTAGAAAAAGAAAGCGCGTATGAATACATGTCTCTCCCAAACAGTCCTTCAGCCACATGCTGTTGAAAGATTGTTCTTAAATGGTGACATTAGGTAATGATAGAATTATGATATTTTTAAGGTCTTACTATGTTGTATCTGAATCCATTCACAGAAAAGTCTTTTGTGTCCATGGTTAAAGTTGCAAGGAAAAAAATAGCGATCTATGTTATTGTAGTTAGCTCAGGACCTTTTCCTGTTAAGTTGCTGTTGCACACTGATCCAGTCACAGCAACCAGGCTTTTTGTCCTTTTGCAGGTGGTACTTGATTTATGCAGATTGTGGCACCACAAGTTACTGCTCTGAGAAGTACTGGGTTCAGCAGCTCTTGCTAGTTTCTCAAGTACAGTATTAAATATCTTGAAAATCAAGTTCCTACCTGATAACAGTTGGGGGAGTTTATGGTTGCATTTTACTTTAATTAACCAGTTTCACAGCAATATGGTAATAAAGCACATTTCTCATGTGAGTGTGTTGTGAAAGTCACAATGTGTTTTGTAATGCTAGACATCGGTTTTCAGAAGCAAGATCAGAATAGGGGTTGCGTGCTGTACTGTTAGTGATTTGTGAACATTTAGGAGAAGATGAAGTAGGAAAAAAACTAGTTTTAATATGGTGAATCATCTCAGTTGTCTTGTGTGAGGGATGGACTCTACATAGATGCATGTTGTTAATCAAATACGTATGTGCACAGATGGCACTGTAAACTGTGGTTGGTTGCACGGGCGCCTTTGATTTTTGTCATTATTCAGCTTTCAAGTTTGAATGATACTATTTAACCACTTTAGAATGTAATTTTCTGAAGTTAAAAAATGCAGACTGCATTATTTCTCTCCACAGCATTCCTCTTCAACCTCCACCTGCCTCAAGTCCACCTGACAGTCATTAACATCCCTAAAATCCAGCACCAAACTTTGGAGTCTTTAAACTTGGAGCCCAACTGCTCCAGCTTTTATACAAAAAATAGTAGTTTTACTGTTGTCTCTTACAAAAATAGAACTTCTGATCTTAAAGGAGAAAAATGCCTGCTTTGAGTTAATCCATCTTTTCAGGATTTCTTTTCTGCTCTGCAGTGAGTTTTTAGGTAGGCAGGCTATGGGGGCCGTCCGAGTCCTCAAGACCAAACTTGGTTTCAGCATGAGTCACTGATTTGTGCACTGTTGTGCTTCCTTTTGGAGACTTCCCTCAACGTCCACTCCTGGTTGTGTAGAAGCAGCACTGCTAAAACTGGGTCTGAGTAATTAACAGAAAGCATAGAGTGTTCTGGAGCAAAGAGGGAATGTGACAGGAGAGGCCTGCATCCCAGAACAGGGGATTGTGTTTACTTGCAGTCTGGCTGGCTGCGTGGCCAGCTGGGCTGGGAATTTGTCTGGCTGGAAGCTGCCCCTTTGCTTGCTGAGTCAGTTTTTAGCCAGTCCAGTTATCTAATCTGATGCTCTGTGTGGCTCACCAACACTCTAAGGAGGGGAAAGGGCGGGTAGGGGAGGACAGGCCTCACCTTTCGAAGGCAACAGGCATTTACATAAACTTAAAGCAATTGTCCATCTGGAGCCTAGAATAACAGCAGAGAGGCAGATGGAGTATCACTGGGAGAGTATTAGCAGAAAAGATCACTCAGATTTTAGCTCCTTTGCTCCTTTTAAAGGGATCTGACACTAGAAGTGTAACAGGGCATGTTTGATCAAATTATCAGATTCTAAAAATACCTGTTTTTCTTCTGTTATTTTAGGCAAACTATCATGACTCTGAGGATAAGACTGTGGATACAGTCAGTACTGAAAACTCACCGAGTTGTTCCAGGACAATAGATTCCCTGCAACAGAAGGTTTGTTACAGAACTCCAGAATATTTTCCAGTCTTTAACAGTTTGTGCTTTCTGACAGTGCTTTTTCTGGATAGTACAGAACAGGTGCATTGCTGGCATAATTTATGAGAGACTGTGCTTTATGTAGGGGAACCTCTTTATTCAGAGGAGAGACTGAAAGTGGTCTGAATTCAATTCCAAATTGTTGCTCTCCTTCCACGGTCTGTTTCCTAAAATATTTTATGTCACACCATGCTGCCAAAAGCCAAGGTTGTTTTCAAGTTATTCAGTACATGGAAAGCAGCATCTTCAGTAACTGCATATGCTTTTTATCTGGCATACTAATCACAGAATCATTACTAAACTAAAGAAATGTGCCCCTGTTGATCCTGAGTTTAATGTGTTAGTGTGGGGGGGGTTCTCCTATGAATGAGCTGGTTTGAGCAAAGTGAATAAAAGTGTCTTTTGCTCGATTGCAGATTGCAGAATGTGAGAAGAGGAATGCCAAGTCACAGGAAAGCCGTAGCTTTTATATTTTTAAGCGATACTTGAATAAAATTTTAAATGAAGCTGGAAAACTTGGCCTTGTAAGTATTTGAACAGTCATTTTAAAAAATTAATTAGAATTCATATTACTACTTTATATGGTTTTCACAGTTATCAAGTATTGCTTAATTATTCTGGAGTATTTTAAATTAAAATGAAGGGAACTGAATGGCACAGGAAGAGGTAATAGCAGTGTGTGCATCCAGTACTGCTCAGGAGACACAGCTGCCATTTGATATGTAAAGCATCCAGAGGAAGGCTGTGTGAATTCAGTGTATCTAAATATCTGTTGCTGGGATGCAGCTACAGGAGTACCTTGTTCAGTTCACATTAATGGTTGTTCAACTGGAGTGGCTGCATGGTACTTACTTGTTGGGTGGGCTCTTTATTATATTGTCTTTGGAGATTTTTTTTTTCTATTCTAATATTTAATAAAGAACATTATATTTAGCAATGTGAAATTTCTTATTTCAGTATTTAATAGCTTTTGTCTGTATTATCCAGCTGTGATCGGGGCACACATAGCATGTATGTCATTATTACTCGTTAGTGAGCCATGGTTTTAAAATTTTAAGAACAGGTGAGATAATTAACTTCATTTCTATTAGTTTATTGCTGTAGAATTGGAGTACAAACCAGTTGAACTCGAGTATCATATAGTTTAGAAGAATGAACAAAAAGGACACAGAATCATAGTTTTGTCCCATATTTTCATCCTGCAGTCTGCTTCAGAAAGGTTCTGGTACAGCATGAAGGGTATATAATCAGGTTTTTGCCTAGGGATGCACTTCTATTTCCAAATAAGCAGCTTTTAACGTTATTTTGCTTTGCTTTTAATTCAGCCTGACGAAAACGTGGGCCAAGTCCACTATGACGCTGAGATCATCCTTACAAAACAGACATATCTGGAGATCCTCAGGTTTCTCAATGAGGAAAGCTGGCAGCCAGGTGCCATGGATGATGCACTTAGTGATATTTTGATCAATTTTAAGCACCATGATTATCAAGCTTGGCACTGGAGATTTGAGGACACTTTTGGAATTGACCTATATAATTTGTTTTTGGTAAGAGAATAAAGGGGGGTTGTTGGTTTTGAGTGCAGTTTTCTCCAGTTTCTCTGGGGAAGTCTAGTCAGTGAATATATATATATAATATAACCATCTTAACTCCACATGGAAAGCAGTTCTTTCCATCCTACTTCAGTGAGTCATGGGTTTTTTCATGGTTGCTGAAGGAAGAGGGGATGTATTCATTTTAAGTAAGAATTCAAGGTTTTTATTCCTATGGTCATCTTTTCTTACTGTAGCTTTGTGGGGTTTTTTCCTGTTATGCTTTTTTTTCTCTTCTTTTTGTCTTATATCTGTGCTGCCTGACTCATTAGGCTCTAGCACTTTCTTATCACTAGAACTGACATTTCGTGCATTACAGATTTTCTGGGTTTCTCTCTTGTTCAAGTAGATGCTGAAGTTGTTGGCTTCTGCAGGAGTTGGAATATATTTACACTGAGACAAGTATATATTTGAACTCTTACAGGCTCTTGCAAATTTTATGGAACAAATTGTGGAGTGTTGGAGAGGAGAGCATGACTGTGGAATTATAAAGTGCTAAGCTGAGGATCTCTGATAAGCTGAAGCTCTCTGAATAAAGCTTTACAATTCAGAATATGCTGATGTTTTATAGTGACATAATCTTGAAAGGAGCCTGTCTAGATCTGAGAGGTCCATGGAAGCCAAATCACAAAAGCGAGCTGTCTGTCGGTAGCAAAACCTCACTGTTAGGGGTCCTCGGATGGTGGAGACTGTGAAGTGCTTCTCTGAGGTCTTGCTGCTGTTACCCAAACTGTAACTTTGTCTCTTAACCAAAGTGCAGGAGTTGACAGCAGTTGTTCTGTGGTTCATACCAGGCACATACTACTCAAGCAGTGACTGACACCAATTTTATAATTTAAAAGTCTGGTAGGTAATGTGATAAACATCATAAGGAAGAAATAACTCAGTATCACAAGAAAGAAATGAGCAACTGCAGTGTAAGGCTGTGATAGGAATGACTAGTAATGCCATGAAACTTCTGCCTTGTGCTGCACAGATGTGCTGTGAAAGCAAGGAAAAACTGTGTAAATGACACTAGAAAAAAAAGTTGGAAGTTTCTTCATGTGTACTGGCAGTAAGCTTGGAAAATGCCAAATCTGGATCATAATTTTTTCCTCTTTTCTTTTTCAGCTACTCTTGTGCTTAGTGTGCATTGTAACTGTAATAGCTACAGAGCTCTGGACACGTATTCTTTGGTTTGTTCAGCTAAAACGTCTTTTGTTAATAAGTTTTTTCATCAGTTTTGCATGGAATTGGCTTTACTTGTATAAGGTAAGGTCTCTAATCTTCTTGTCTTTTAGGCTTAAAATTTTAGAGTTATGAGGAAGTTAAGGTTATTTAGTTCCCTTAGGTAGTTTACATAAAGCTTTTAATTAACCACAAAATAAATAAAGGGATTAACATTTTGTTTTGCATGCTGATGGGTGTGTTAGGCTTAAAGAACAAAAGAAATTCTGAGAACTTTATCCTACAGTAGAGGTGCCCAAAATTCATAGAGTACTAGAACTCTGATTTCACTGTGTGACCTTTGACTAAAGCAGCTTGGTAGAAAAGTTATATGAAAATATATTGTGAGGAGTTTTTTCTTTTTGAAGATTCCCTGTGTTTGAATTGCCAAAGGACTAAACTCCAGTATTCAAAGATACAAGTTCAAGGCAAAAGTCTCAGACTCCATTTGGAGGATAACTCAGAGGTAGCCATCATGATGGGTTTTGTCCACTCCCAGGAGGTGCTTGGAGTTGAACTCCATTAAATTGTTTAGTTAGCAAACTTCTCTTAATATATATTTACATGGGGAGTTACCATTACAGGGGGGTGTAATGGGGAAATTATAATTGACATGGAGGATTATCCGAAGCTGGCTAAGAGCAAACAGGGATAGCTGAGGTGCAGCACTGCATGGATGCAGGTTCTCTTTGTTTCACAAGTCATTGTGTTTCCCTCAGTTGGCCTTTGCACAGCATCAAGCAGAAATTGCAAAAATGGGGCACTTTGATAACATCTGTGCTGAGAAGTTGGACTGGCGAGAAAGTCTTTTTGGTAAGTACTTGTTTCGTTATTTTGTAATAGTATTTAAGATCACAAAATAATAGTAGCCAAGGATAGTCACATATCTTCATGAGTAGTACACTGAATTTTCCTCAATACATGATTCTGTGGTTTTACCATTTTTCCATTCCATTAGACTTTTCTAGGCCTTTGGAGGAGAGCTGATCACAAAACTGTACTTGGAGCATGTCACGGTGTTCCTTCTTTTTCTTTTAACTTACCCATGATTATTTCCCCAGCTCCCCTCCCCAGAATCATCCAGTGCCATTTACCAAAGACAGGTGGGCAGAGCTCATGAAAAGGGTTGTTTTCTTTCCATCTGCCAGGCCTGTGGGTACAATGGACTTGAGGAATTAGATCTGTAGCTGTTTTACTCGAGTGTTACTATTTTACAGAGAAAGCTGATTTTTTTTTTTATTAGCTATAATTAGTATCCAGTGCTATAGTTGGTAGATGACTGGTGGCAACTCTTAAGGACTGCTTGTTATGGTCTTCCCTTTGTAATTTATTGACTTTGATTATTCTGTTTATGACAAATTTCAATGATTCATGTTCTGACTGCAGTAATACCAAACTACAGAAACAGTGATGTTGTAAATGACTTGTTTGTAATGTAAAAGTTCCCTTAAGAAGTGAGACTTTCTGCCTGTAAATAAAATAGACCCTTGAAATCTAGCAAGCAAAACAGAGAATTTTAATCTTGTCTGCAGACTGACAGTTGAATAATAACACTGGGAATGGCACTGTTTCAGTAGCTGTGCACACATTGTGCTAGATAATTGTTCTCACAGATGAGACTCTTTCCCCTGAGGCTTCTAGGGAATAAGTTCATCAAATAAAGAGAACTTTTTTGACTCTGCATGTGAGAACTTCAGGTTCTTTTTTCTTTCTAGCCTTCCCTCTCCTTCCTCCATCACTATGACTGGATAAACTACACTGCCAAGCTGATCTCAGAATTGTAAAAATAAATCTGAGCTTTGAACCGCATCTAGAAGAGCTCTCTTACATCTATAATTGAAATGCTACTTTCTCTACTACTGCTGTGTCATAGAATGTATTTTTAAGAAGTTGTAAAACTATGTCTCTGCTTTGACAGAATGGCTTAGAAGCACATGGACGTTACAGGACGATCCCTGTCAGAAGTATTATGAAACTCTACTTGTAAATCCTATTTTGCTGGTTCCACCAACAAAGGTACATGCCAAGTCCAAAGGGACTGTTCACGTTGATGTTTGTTGTTTGTGTGACAACACTTTTTCTATTTGTATTTTTCTAGGCCTTGGCAATTACTTTCACCAACTTTGTAACTGAGCCTTTGAAGCACGTAGGGCAAGGTATTGGTGAATTCATCAAGGCACTAATGAAGGAGATTCCATTCGTTCTGCAGGTTCCAGTACTAATTATGATGGCTCTGGCTGTGCTGGTTTGTATACATTTATCTTATGTTTAAGAGCTCAGTTTTATTTTTTATATATTATTTTAATTTATATTTATTATCTATTATTTATTTTTTATTTTTACTTAACACAGATGAAATTACTTCTACAAGGCAATTTTTTCTTGACCAAGGCTTCACAGTACAGGTGGTTTAGCAATTAAAATAGCCAAGTTTGTATTCAAAACACAACTTCCCCCCTCTCCCCAGGTGGGATAAAATAGCATTAAACTGCTTAAAATCTAAGACTCTATGACAGTTTATTGCAGCTTAGTTCCCATTTCTTCTTTGTGTCATTACACAGACATGCATATAATTGGCATTTTGTACACAAAAGCATTGAGTTAAAACCTTCAACAACTTCAGTGCAGCACCAACAATGAACTGCACCCAATGTGGCAGTTCCTGCAGTGTGGTCAGACTGTAGAAAGCTCGAATTTTACTGCAGCCCTTCTGATCACCTGAGCTTTTCATTCAGGGTCTTGTAGATGCCTGACTTTGATATCTATGTGAGAACCACAGGCTGCAAGTATGTGGTATTTTGTTCAGCTTGGTTTTTTCCCTCCCCCAGGCTTTTTGCTATGGTGCAGGATCATCAGTGTCTGCATTAAGATACTTAACATCTTCTCAGAAGAAAAGTCTTCCTCCACCTGACAGTCAACAGGAGCAAATAGGCTTTGGGCAGTACAATGGGAGGCAATCAGAGGACTATTACTTGCAGAAGCACCCATATGTGTACAGAGGACACCAGGACAGAGGAGATGGCTCTGCGAGACCTCCCCTCACTGTGAGAGCAGCGAATGGCAGCAGGAACCCCGACAACCCCGACACGGCACAGACCAGCGATGAGCTGGACACACACGTACAAGAGTCTCACAAACCAGAACCTAATGTTAGTCCTGGTGCTCTTTGAGCTGGGATTAAATTGAATAGATTTAGTGTCACCTGATAAACACGCTTAAACAACAAGCTTAACCCAAATCCTGGGGAGAGAGGAGTTAAGGAAGTACATGTTTCCTGATAGAACAGTTCGGTAGAGCTGTCTTGGACATATTTCTTTCTGGAAAAATACTTTGCAATGGCTAACTGGCAGGAAACTACTGAATTAAAACTCTTTAAGACTTCAGTTTTGAGAGATCAGTACTTATGTCAGCCTGGGCATTCATGATTACCCCCAGGAGAAGGGGGGAGGGAAGTGCTGACTTTTCTGTAAGCTAGAGAAAACTCAAAACAAATTTATACCCTACATTGTGTATATTTACATGCACTGTTACCCCAGGGGAAAAAATTATACTACTCATGCTTTGGGTGAGCTCTGCCCCTTGAGCTGAGGTGCCCTTGAAGCCATAGATGCTGTCACTTTAGATTGCTTAATTAATAATTATTATTAATTTTTTTACAGAATAGGTTGTATACTGAGTCTGAAGTTCATAGACTAGAAACTCTCAAAGCTGAAAACCATACTGAGGAACCTGCAGTTGAGCAGCAGAAACAGGAGACAGGCAAAGCAGAGCGAGAGGCTGGAGAAAACTGTGATCCCAATAAAAACCTAGAAGGGAAAAGCTCTGCGATGGAGCAACGTGAAGAGAAGGGAAAGAGCATTTTACGCGACTCCCAGGAAGGAGACTAAGGAAGGCCCGAGCTCTGCTGTAAGTGTCGTCTAATCTTTGGTTGTCATATACTTGCTAATTCTGCTCTAGTTCTCCAATATCAGAAAGAGAACATGAGTAAGGTGGGGTTGTAAAATCTGGGAGAGTTATAGGTACTGTGTCTGGAATTTGAAATAAATGTGTTAAGATAATAATACACGTTTAAGTGGCCAAGAAAACAGGGTTATGGGGTGTTGCTACTTGTTGGAAATCAAGTTTGTGTAATAAGTTTTGGGTAAAATTAGATTCTCAGTGGGGAACACTGATACTCTGATGTAGCAAACACAAGCCTAGCCAGGTAACTGTCCAACAGCCTCAAGGAAGTTACTGATATTCCTGTAATTCACATAACATTAATCACAGCTCAGATGGAGGTCTCGGGTCTATCTTTGGGTTTATAGTCTGTAAAACCAGTTGGCTGTTTGTCGGCTTAGTTTTAGGACAGCCAACTGATTTTCTCCTAGTTTAATGATTTGCAGAGTGAGAAGCTGATGTGTCAGATGAGTTTTAGGGCAATTCAAAGCTGAACAGGGAATAGGAAGCAGAGTAAAAGCATCAAAGCTCAGGATGATAAACTGATTGGTGATTTTTTTTTTGAAGAACATTCTGACGTTTCTCCTTACAAGCAGAGGGAGGAGTTTTAGTTTCAGTAGGATTCAGATTTCAGTGCCTAAAAAAAGCTGCAAGAGAATATTTATAAATCTTTCAGTAATTGTAAAATAGTTTGAATTATGTGTCTGTTTATTCTTACATTGCCATTTCCCTCTGAAGCTAAAATTAACTGTAGGTTCTTCTCTAGGGGTATAATACTTCAATAAAAACAGGACATCATTTATAAATACCCAAAGTGAACAGTTTGCTACCTTTGCTGTTAAAATCAGTGGCTTCTAACTGAAGGTACCTACAGTTAAACCAGGCACAGCCCTCAGGGTTCCCCAGAACTGCCTCGGGACCGGGATCTACTGCAGGGAAAATGAAGTTACAGTGGCTGTTCCCCAGAACTATCCCAGCATAGCACATCGTTAGCAAGAACAGAAGGAGTTGAGGTCAGGTAATAAGCAGCCTATGACCATTTACAGCATGTGACATTTGAAATTCAGGTACTGCAGGAACTACACTGTGTCCCTGGGAGTTCGTGCCAAGTGCCTACCACCCCTGTGATTCTCTGGTGCATGGACTTGTACCACACCATCTGTAGAGCAGCATGAGCAGCTGTTACTTGAAAAGAAGTACTTCTAAAAACTTCTCCTGATTGTAAAACTGTGCTGAGTTAATGTAAGAACCACTTAACTAAGTATTACCAAAAAAACCCATCATGTTTTGAAAAAACTTATTTTTTATTAAACAGAACTAAAAACAGGGTTTAATTTTTTTAATAGAAATGATTGTTTCTTCCAAAATGCGTTTCTGCAAAGACAGACTAACTACCGAAGCTATTTCTCAATTTTTTTTTATTTTTTAAAAAAAGTATAAAAGAAAACAGGACCTTTTTTTTCAGGAGGTACAAAGCAGGGGGGGAAAAATCAAGTTTTCTTTAAAAACAACATAAAAATTTAGGTCTTACACTAGATTGAGACAGTAGTAGAATCCACACATGAGCACTGATAACCTTGACAGAGAAAAAATTAATGTTGATAGACTAGAGACAGTTAAGAGGGAGAGACAGTAATGGTATCTCAGACTGCTATAAAAGCAGCTGCCAACTGCATGAGCAGGGGCAACTCTATAACTACCAGTCACACATGTGATGCTGCTGCTATTTCTATGGAAAATCATTAGAAAGGAGACAAAACTACTCATTGCAGTCATCTTTAAAAAGGCAAACAAAAATGATACCTAAGATGCTGCTGTACAGTACATTCCTGTGTGTGTGTCTTCAGCTAGAATTTGGTCCCTTTATAGCTGGGGGTAAATGGACTCTCTGTTCATCCATTCTCTTAGCTTGTGATCGTAAAATGAGGCTGAAAAAATCCTCATCTGGTACAGTGGATCCTTTTGCAGATGCTGGAGGAGCACATCTTTGATCGTCCAGTCTGGAACCCTACGGACAGACCAAGAGATAAAGCTGCATATTTACAGGGACAGATATAATAAGTGAACAATATAAGTGAAAAAACTCATAAAAGCTTTTGTTTTCAGATTTAGAGCTATTATATAGATTTAATTTTAAGTTTCGTTTCAAGCTAAACTGGTCGAATGAAGTTACTAAGAATGCAAGTTAAGCTAAAATGTCCGTATGTATCTGAAAATACCCCCCAACTGTCCTATTGCAGAATGAGATTTAAGTGTCCTTTGTCCAGAAGAAGAATTTTAGCACTACGATGCAGTATTTGTAGTCTCATATACAGAAAATATAGTCGTCTTCCTTTCCTTATACAGGGAGTAAAAAATGGCCCCACTGGAGTCACATTTGGAAAGGCAATACTGAAAGGCACCTCCACACTGTAAGGACAGGAACAGTTCAGTGACAGAGTTACAGAGCATGGGATGGTTTCTGTGCTCCTTTCACACAACTGCCCTCCTGGCCAGCTCCTACAGGCACCAGGTCAGGCTGCAACAGCTATGGCAGCTCCTGTGCCTGAGCTGGGAATTAGCATTCTCTGTCAGTGTAGGAAAAGCTTTCAGTGCTGGATAGACCTTGGACAGTCATCCTTCAGACAAAAAGTCTCAAAGGACAGCAACCCTTTTGTTGCTTCTGTTTAAAGCACTCCATAATGATGAGAGGGGATTAAATATTTTTCCATGCCTTAAAGAGACAAAATATATCATACTAATTTCTAGGTTCTTTGCTTGACTCAAAGGAGTAAACAGATAAGCTGCTAAAACAGAACATGATATTTCATCAGGTTGAAATTCAATTCCAGGTGCTTCTTTTCACCCCAGCTAACATACTTACCTTTGTATCTGAATTTTGTATTTTGAGATGCTTATCAACTCATTTAATTAAATTCTTTTTGGTCTAATATACCATGCTCTAATTGACAATCAGCCATCTCACCTGCATATTGCTATGAACTATCATTTACACTAAACATAATGGGAATGATGACCAAAACTTGAATACTAAATCCTTTAATTTCATTTCATAGGATTCCTGGTATATCAGGTGCCTTACACTTAAAAATCATTTTAATATTCATTTTAAGAGCCTCACTTGTTTTCCTTCACTTTTTAAGGATTTTTTCTAGAAATAGTTACCATAATATACATTTTTGTTACTTGACATAGTTACCATGGTATATATACCAAATTTACACTTACTAGACACTGGATAATTTAAAAAAAAAATAAATAAAAAATCAAAACAAGAAACAGAAATTGTAAAAGAACCCCAAAACTTGGGGAAAAAATCCTAATATTTTGTTATCTTCTTCCTTATCTGCCAAATCAGTATGTATCTTAAATCACATGGTAACCAAGCAACTCAATAGCAGGAGGCACAAATCACATCCCCAGAGACTCAGAAGCTGAAGAACTTTTGTTAAGCACTGACCTGGCATTTTATCAATATATCAAAGAAGTCATCATCCAGCTCCCTGCTGTTGCTGGCCATGAGGTGCCCCAGCACGGCCTGGCTGTCGCGCTGGGGGAGGCGCAGCCCGGGCAGGTTGTTCAAACTGGCGCGCTGGTCGTCCAGCCGGCGGCTCTGTGAGCTCGCCAGGAGGTCCAGAAACTCATCTGTGTGTGGGGACACCACAGAAGTGGAAAAGGCTGGGGAGCAGGAAGAAAACAAGTTAGCCCAGAAATAACTGTAACATTTCTGAAAAAATTTCTGTAGTGAGTCGTGCACGCAAATACATTTTGAAAATGGCATTTGGCAGAAACTCAAGTCAGATACAGATTTTACTTCAAAAAAAATTACATTTTCGCATTGTTTTAGGTGGAGTAGAGGATTTTGCCACTGAAGCAGCTGGGAGTCTGTTCTTCTCCTGGAAGTAGCACCTCTGGTCGTCCATTCTGTTGCTCTGGAATCGACTCAGCAGATCGAAGAATCCTTCATCTGCCATTGTCTCTCGACTGCTTTTCTGAAAAGGAGAAAAGATTTAGGGGTATTTGGAACTTAAGAGTATCTAAAGCTGGGACAACTGCATCAGAGTTTAGTCCAGTCCTGTTTCATATTTGTGTATCTGATATCTATTAAAATCAATTTTTTTTAGTCATCCCTTTCTATACACAGAGATTTATCATAAGAGGAGATATAAGAATATGGCAGCATTTTTGTAAGGTATAATATATTAGAAACATTTCATTCTCTCACATGGAAAGAAACAGTGCTTGGATCATGGTACAGCTGGAGTTATTCCTCCTCAGCCTTTAATCCACTGAAAAAAACCCAAATGCCCATGACAGAAGAAAAGTAACAAGAACAGCAGTGAACACTTTCCATTGCCTCCTCAGGTTTATGATCAAATGCCTTTTATTTTTAACTGAGTTCTGTCAAGAGTGCAATAATCTAAAATGTCCAAAATATCTCCCACTGCCTGAATCAGAGAAACTAGATTTTGTTAAGTTTAGAGAAGCAGTGTCTAGAAGAGACTTAGAAATAAAATACGTGGGTAAGCTGAGCTCTAACTTTAGAAAATCCATGAGGAATACAATGGTTTCAGTGTTAGGAAAAGCTTAAAGCTGGCACCACCCATGAGACAGCTGTAGAATGGAAGATTCTGCATGTTTTACAGAGCCACAGTGTTTAAATGAAGTTAAAGTGAAATGGACAGTTGCAGGAATGTGTTTTCCATAATTCTGATCAGACAAAGATGAGTGAAGGCGATGATCTCCACAGCTCACCAGACCTACCCTCTGGGAGTTGGGAAGTCGATGATCAATAGAATTACTGGCATCCTGCAAAACTTTGGAAGTGGTGCTGGTTTTGTACTTTTTGCCTTTTAGTCGATTTACAAAGTGCAGTTTTGCTGAAGGTTTGGCAACCAGTGGTTTCTGTTTAGCAAGAATCTCACTGTTCCAGTTCTGAACCTAAGAAAACAAGAGTCATGAAATTAAGCCTTGAGATTTTAATTACCTCTTACTTGCTGCTGCTTCTCCTTCCCAAAATGAAGCAGCTTTATTTTGTTCATCCAACCACAAGGATGTTAAAACTTTGGGTTTGGTTCTGTTACTTGACCTGGGATTAGTGAGCTGTTGTTGGCTGGAGCAGGTTAGTGCTGTTACTGATTAGGCTGAGAACTGTTGTGTGACACCTGATGGATTAAAATGTGATCAAATAGTGTATTTAATTAAACACACTGAAGTTGTCCTTGCTGACTGCAGTGCAGGAAAAACAGTTATAATGTAAATGCTAACCTGCAGACACAGCTGGTATTTCCCACCTGACATTCTTAAAACGGGAAAGAAAAAAATTAAAAGCCCCCATATTACAAAGTGTCAGAGCAAAAAAACCCTTATACCAACTCAGATACTCAACAAGCCTTCCTTGAAGTCCTTCATATACACAAACTTCTCAGTAAAGACTGAAAAGGAAGAGGGAGAATAATGCCAGCACAAGAGCAAACAGGAATGACCATCTTGTTTCACTAAAGATCAGAATGGATAGCTTTGTCAACCTGTCAGATTTTCCCTAAAATATCTTCTAAAATAAATAGAATTATCAACAAAATAGCTTTATCCACAACTGACAGACTCTTATAACTGAGTAAAAACAAAACAAAACCTTTTCTTTCCTGATTCAACATCACAAAGCATGAACACAGTCACAAATCTTCCAGCAACAGTGCCTTCTGGATTGCCTTTTCGAGGCTTCCTGAGCACTCGCACACAGACTGTGACTCCAAGAAGATGGCATCCTGTCCACTGAAACCCTAGTGCTCCTGTTGTGCATTGCTGTAGATACCAAGGACTTCCATGGAAGAATCTACTCAATAAGTACGTTGAAAAAAAGTCCTTTATAAAGTGCTAAACTGCAATAGTAGATTAAAGCCAAAAATCTACAGGAAACAGTATATTTAGGGCACAGACTATCAGAGGATACACATTTTAAAAGTGATCCCAGATAAACAGATTCAGAGAGTAAGAAAACACAGCTGATGGTGGCCAAAAGCTTAGAGGTTCCCTGCAGAGGCCTCACCCTGGACTAAACAGTCTTTCTAAATGGGTACCCAAGGCAGGTCTTGAGCATTAGCGCTGACTTCAGCTGTAGCCACTGTCCATGTGCTTTGAGATTTTATTGCCTGTTTGATCAACATGATGACAGGCTTTGCCTCACTTGAAGAGAGGGGAATTAGATATCCCAGTGTGGAGGGAAAAATATCAATTTCAGTGTGCCACTGGAGTCATTCATGTAGAACTGCCAGCCTACTATTGAAAGGCAGATAGAACTGAAGGAAAACTCTCATAGAGTGACACAAGGATTTTAATCAGGAACTCTCTGAGCCTGGGGGGGAAGTTGCTTTGCTTATCAGTGACTCAGGTGCAGCATTTCTGCAATAGCACCCTTACTCAAGATGGATATTGAAGCTCCTGATGGCTTGCAAGTTGACTGAAATCCCGAAAGGAAAAAACCCATATATTTTAAGCGCCTATAAAATGACTGTAGCCAAAGGAAAAATGTTCAGAACAGCTGAACTAAAGCTTAGAAATTTTACTCTGAATCACTCATGCTGCAACCTCAAACCATCTCTGTAAAGATATGAAAAGGAATTCCTTTGATGCACCTACAGGACCTCATTCTTTCTTATTTGTGCAGTGAATAAAGCAAGCTTCCCACAAGCCATTACAGCCATTATCTGTGCCACACGCTCCACACCCACACAACAAAACTATTATTTGTTAGTATGGTTAGACCTGCTGTTATGTAACTCCTAAGATCAGCATTAAAAGGGGAGGCACGTGGCACATCAGCAAACCCTTAGAAATGTTTCACTGCAATCTCAGCAGCAGAACAGAAGCAAAGTGCCAACCTTTTCCGGGGTTAATTTCATAAGTTCCATGTTCTCCATGCTGTGACGGCGTCCTGCTCTCGGTCTGGTACCTTCAAGAGAGAATCAAGTTCATCTTTTTATCATCAAAATTTATGGTGATTTATCATCAAAGCTGTGGCTGTACTCATCTAAGGTCCAAGGCACAGAAATTCTGACTTCCAAAACACTGCAGGTAAGTATATCAGCAAAGAATAATTAACCACTAGTAAAAGCAGCTTACAAAACTCACCCAAATCTAAGCTACCTAAGTTGCTTTCATAGGATATGAGAGAAGGACCATGGACCTTTGAAAAGAGGAACAGCAAATGGACTGGGTTCTGCTGTAACCCCAGTGTTGCTGAGATGGCAGGAAGAGAAAAGACAGGCTTTGACAGCAAATAGATACATCTCCCACATTAAAAAAGGGAGGGGAAGACACGGACACAATTAGAAACATCATCTGAAGAAACTAAGCAGTAACCAGTGATTCACAATGTAAATCCTCCAGAAAAGGAGGTGCTGAAGGGGTCCAGTACTGCAAAAACAACTGTCTTTTGCTGGTGGGGGAGAAAACCAAGCAAACCTGCACACCAGTGTGGTCAGTAAAGAACACAACACTCTTTCTGAATGCTTTGTTCAAAAGTATTGCAGAAAGAGGCACATACCATTGAAACTGTTTTCTACCACATGGCTTTCTGACATCATGGAGTTGTTTGTACTGTAGCTTAATCCAAGAACCATTTGAAGATCTGAGAGATTAAGTCTGGCAGTGAGTTCTCCACTTCTGTCTCCTACCTTCAAGCAAATAAAATAAGCAGTTATATTACCTTAAGAAGTACACACATGAAAGTGTAAAGCAATCCTTGTCCCCTAGATTTCTGACAGAAAAAGGTTGAAAAGGTTTTCCTACTTGAATACTGAGAGAACCATCTTTTTTAATGAAGGGCCTGACAACTCATAAAGCCTAAAATAACCTCTAACAGGCTACTCAACTTGGATTCCATGATGACATTATGAAAGGTGACACTAGAACTAAGCAAGCTGCAGTGACATGGGGCTGAAATGATGTGGAATTAACTATCTCTGCCTTCAAAATGCATTCCATTACTCAAAATCAAATGCGTGGATACACCTCCATAAAACCACTGTGTAAGTGAGAGCAAAAGCCAACAGTCAACAGTGGGAGTATGCAAATCATACCTCTCTTGAAATCTCCAGGTGCCTTTCTGCAAAGTGGATAGCTTGGTCATGGTTTCCCAGAGCAGTATATGCGTTCCCTAAACTCCAGCACGCTCTTCCTTCACCAATTCTGAAAAGCACACACACATTTTCAGTTACACCTTTACCCGCTGAACACCAGGGGTCAGGTTTGCACAGCACTGCCACAGTAAGATCGCTGTGCCAAGAAAAAGGGAGGCTGTCATCAGAGACGGTTCCAACACCAACACATTAGGTGTTGTATTTAAAGAAGTCTAATCTGGGTATTACCATAAATATGAACAAATCTAATCACAATTTTAAGTTCACAGCAAACAAGTCACTCAGTTTTGCAAGCATGGAACATTGTATAACCTACTTTGCTTGTCCTCAGATTGCATGCCTTATTATTCTTCCTATATTCTGCTTATTGAGAATATGTACATTGTAGAATATGTACATTTAAATAATGTAAAAACTTTTAGTTGTACCCAACATTATAAAAAAGGCCTTAGAAATCATGACTGTAATACAAACATTACTTGCTACTGTGTTATTTACCTTTCCCCACCTCCTCCCATATTATTAATTTGTGGACAAGTTGGAGACAGATTTTTATGAAAGTATGCAAAATTATTATAATGGAGTCATGAAAGAGAGATCTGCTTTTTCTTTCCTTAATTTACAGAGGCAGTGCTGACAGGAGAAGATGTAGAGACAGTCACTCATCAATTGGTCTTTCATCTCAGACTCATTAACTGCAATACCTTCATGAGGAACTTTGGTTTTCCATATGAAAACCAGAGCCCAGCATTGTAGGGAATTCACATTAATTCAGCTGTCACATACAGAACAATAACAGCAGAGCTGGAGGTAACAGGATTTGCTGTAAGTGTCACACATACATGAAACAGTGTCTTAGGGCTTACTTATCATTTAATTCCTGAGCAATCACCAGGTGTTTCAGATGATAATCGATGGCTTTCTCGTAGTCCTGGAGCAGAGTGTACGTGTTCCCGAGGCTGTAGCAGGCCTGTGCTTCCACGGCT